GTGCCTTAACCACCTGGCCATGCCGAGCCAGTTTGAACTGACAAAGAAAGGCAGCTAGTCAATAGAAGCGTACCACCGACTCTTGAGCTACTCTTACCTGACTGAATAGTGTCAGTTGGCCATCGCCCCAATGGTCCCAAAGTGTGGAGCGCGTTTTAGCGGCAACGGGCTACAAATCATGAATCCTCGAATTTACAGTCCGAGCACGTTAACTACTAAGCCACACCCTGGTAGTATGGTAAATCATTTTCTAAGACAATAAATTCAATGTCAATTACTCAATCAGATTTCATATAACTTTAGATAAGTGTATATGATTACATAGTGGAAGATTATCGATAAATAACATCCACTGGACACAATATTAAAATTTATTGTATAATTAATAATTAATTTCGACAAACTCTCCATATGCCTGTAAATATAACCAACACGACGAGCCAAAAAAAAAAAGAAGAGTGTCTATTATTGATTTGCTATAGTTTGTGTGCTATAAATTTCGGAACTAAAACTGTGATTGTTATAATGCTTATTAACCGGGACACTTCAGATATTTGACCAGGAAAATTTATAAATTTCGAACATTACAAACCATTTAACTTCAGTGGATTCACATCGGACATTAGCACTTTTACGAAAACATTACCTAACGTCATCTGTAGAAAAAATCGGCGTGTGATCAGTGAAGACCACAGAGCTAGCTAGCTCATCGTTAAATGAATCGTACCTACGTCAACTCGAAGTTAACTCTCTCATCGTGAAAGTCTTCTTTCTAGTCTGGAACTTCCTTGATATCTTATCGAGGGTTACAAAAGTTTTTACAAACTTACAAGCAATATATATAAATCATTGTTTGTAATAACTATTTGTAATATCTGTTATTGCAAATTGGATGTATAATAAAATATATTTGTGTAAAAAAAGAAACTGTGTGTATCAATCTTGTTGGCAAATATCATAAATTAGATACATATGGGCATATATTTAACTACTAAATCTAATGAATCTAAGTTTCAAATGGACAGCAACTGCCTGTTGTAGAAACCTAGGAATAGGTTTCAACAACAGGCAGTTGCTATCCATTTGAAACTCAGATTCATTACGAATACTCTGCCTAAACAACCTGTTAAAGATTACTAAATCTAAATTATAATTTAGCTTGGTTTCAGACCATTCGAAATTGTGATACGTAACAACAGTAATGTAGAGTATTTGGAAGAAATTGTAACATCAAAACATCGATAAAATGAAAAACATTTTTTTTTGTGGAAAAAATATCGTCTTTTCTTCTCTTAAGACTAGAGTTAACCTGCTGTCGATAATCTCAGTAAACTAAAATAATGTGCTTTAAAATTATCTGAATTATAAATAATAAGTAAATTTGGTGCATATTTAACATTTTCTAAAACAGGTAAAAATCTGTAGAAGCACGATATGTTATAATGTACAAACCACACTACATCTGCCAAACCAAGTGCCCACGAGACCATTGGCGCAAAACCTGGACTCATAAGTCCGGCTGGGATACGACAGACATAGTGGTCTAGGCACTATATATATATATCATCAATTTTCATGAACAACGACTGCAAAGTTGTGAACCAGAATAAGTGAATTATAATTGTTAACACTTTTACCTAAGTCATTTACATATCAGATTATAAGGATAAGAATTAATAACACAACATCATTTATTTTAACACCAGTTTTTATTAATTCAGCTTTTCTTCTTTTTTTCCTGGAACGGGTCAGTTTACTACAGCGTCAACGGGAAAAAAAAACTACATTAGTAATTCTAAGAACCCATGAGTAAAAAAAAAAAGAAGAACTACTAGCTATAAAAAGGCTTATTCTCTTTGTCATTCTGTCGAGAACGCTTTCACACTCCCTTTTTGTTAATGCTCAACAAAGTACATCGTCGCTTAGTAACAAAACTATCACCTGAATATTCTTAGGCCAACAATAGTATTTATGTTGAATGCTCAATATTCATGTTGATTTGTTAGAAATGTTTGTTAAACGTTTATTACTGCGAAATATCTTTTATCCTTAGTACAGTCGAACAGTTGTGTCGGTATTTAATAAGTTTTAAGTGGTGAATATTATTTATTTTAACACATTTATTATCTACTTGGCCTTAAATCATAAAGAAAAATAAACGTTTATTACTACCAAATATCAGTCGAAAGAGTTGAAAATTTGTGTCCGAATGTCCGCACTACGTTTTCTGCTTTTTGACCTAGATAGAATACAGTAAGAATGCTATTTAAGTCTCTTTAAGAGTGCACACGTACATTTGTTCACGATAACGTTTCATTTTTCTACGTATTGTGGTGATTAAAGAATTACTTCAAGACTGATGAAATAAGTGAAGAGTAGGTGCATTTTGGAGATACAGACAAATTAATTTTAGTTAATTTGTATAATTTACTTTAGTCATTCAACAATTGTTCCCGTCATTTTTGACGTGCTTCTATACTAGTATGTCATAATTTGTCAAATACACTACATCTACTGTATAATGTTAATAAATCTATGAAAGACGCCTAAACCCGAATATAGTGCTAATTTGTCAAATAAACTACATCTACCATATCATGTTAATAAATCTATGAAAGACGCCTAAACCCGAATATAGTGCATTTTCGGCCCCA